GGACCCCTTGGGGATCCCCAAACCCCCCGTTTTGGAACCCGTCCCAGATGGAGGCTTGCCGGGCGAGTTGTTAAGGAAAACAGTGAGCCAGCGAAGCTCTGTTTGTCCTGAGGGCGCTGGTACACACTGTAAACTCTGAACTAAAACAAATAAAAAAATCACACGCACAAAACCTGCTACGGGGTAGGCCCTCTGATTTTGCCCGAAGCAGAAACTAGACGCGCTCTTTTCAGACCAGGTCCTGTTTGCAGAGCCACACCATCTCCTGGTGTATCCTGACAAGGTGCTGATAGACTGTGGAGGATTTTGATTTGCTTTGTATCCTGACACCAGGATGCCACCCTAACAGTTCTACACAGGCTTTACTGCCAGTGGAGTATAAACATCCATTTGCATGGTGACCACAGATTTGTTTACCAACTGTAACAGGCAGACAGCAAGGGCTTTATTTTTCCCAGCACACTGATTTCTGTCTCCAATCTTTGTTCTCTTCCTACTTTTTTTTTCCCGCCCCTGACGTGCCGTTCTCACGCATTTCGGTTCAGAAAGTGCAGCCCTGTTTGTGTTGCAGATCTCTGAGTCTCACACCCTGGCTGGCGGTGGTTGAGAAACAGCAGGTGCTCTCTGATCTGACACTGGTGGCCAGGTGGAGGTGATCACTGACAATGCTCTGACGGTGGCTGTGTAGGACACCCCCACGCCCAAGCAAGAGAGTGCTGGTCCAGGTAGCGGAGGCCACATTCCAGGAACGATCACCAGTCACACTTATTTTTTTAATAAAAAGAAAGGAGGGAATTCAGCCCAGTTTGCCTGTTTGGTAGTTTAGCAAGTGAATGAATCTTAACTTCACTCCAGCTGATTCCTGAATCACCTGGCTGGGCCGTCTGTTCCAGACACCAGAACTGTGTGCAGAAATGCATTTTCTGTGCATCGCCTTTTCATTTCATGATCTTATCCATGGTTCACTACTGATTGTGAAACTACCCCCTGTGTTGACCCTACCTACACACTTGGTATCTTTGTGCTTGAAACAAATCCACTCTCAGTTTCCTTTCTTCTGCACAGAAGAGTGTCCTGCCTTAACTCTCTGTATAAGACCTGAGTCCAGGAAACATTCTTTTTCGTTTTGGCTCCATTCAAATAAAGTGGGATCATTCTTTATCAAAAGTACTGAGCTTAGAATTTGATGAATTTCCATCTTATTGCATCATCCTCATATCACTTTTTAGCATTACATCACCATGCTTTTCGGCATCAAATTAAAGCTGGCTGTGTGCAGGTACAGTGCATTAAGAATGGCTGTTGTTAGCTCCCTCAGCCAGTTTGCTGCTTGTTCATGTGCTTTTTTCCTGGTGTAGATGTGTTCAAGGTGGAGGGCTGGTGTGTGTGAGCTGGGGGGTTGGGTAGCCTGCACACAAGTCAGGGGTGTAGCTGGGAGCCGCACATACTCTCTGATAGGGCTCATTGATCATTATTACCTGGCAGAACATCGCAGGCACTCTGGGGTCTTATTTGCATACAGAGCCAACAGTCTGAAATGAAGTAGATAAACCACTGCACCCACCTGTGAGCACAATTAGCATTTGCTTCTGCATGCTAGAATTATTAAGGCATGACTACATCCTGACATTCTTGGACATAATGTGGTGCTGGGACCATGCTAAGTGACTTTTAGCAGTGAAAGTCTTTACCATTACATTATTTAGGAGGGGCAACATGTGTGATCTTCGACGTCTGCTTTTGAGATTATTTCTGTTCTCCAAAAATAGGAGAAAACAAAGAAATTGTATAACACTGAATCGTTTAATGGAACGCTCATCCTGCATTTCTTTGACATTCCACACTTTGCGAGACGTGTTTCCTGCCTCTTCTGCTTTCCAGGGATAAACAGGTAGAACATAAACAAAAGAAAGTAATTTACTGCTTTCATTTTACAATTATATTCTTTTATTATATAATTAACTATTTACATCCTGCTGGCACATATGGAATCACAGTCAGCAAAAACACAACCAACCACCAACAATCCAGACACAAAGTTCACTTCGTCCTCTCCCACAGAACACAATCAGGTCTCAGAGGGACACAAACCCAATCCAGGCCTACCAGTATTTGCTAAACATCTCTGCCTGTAACCTAAGAGAAAAGATTAATTTTTCCATTATGTAAATGTCCTTCACAACAGCGATCCGTTGTTCAGGTGTTGGGGGTTCTTTAGCAAACCATTTTCTTGTGATATATGGTTCAGATTTTGATACAAAATTGCCTGATTTGCCTGGACCTGCTTAAAAAAAACCTTCCTGCTGGTTTGCATGCCCACAGACATTCTGATAAAGGTCACTGACGATTTGGCTAGCAAAGTAATTGCCATCGAGATCTCCCAGAGCCCCTGTTGTTTCTGTTGCCTGGGGGGTCTCCTTTTCTCTTTTTCGGGTCGACCAAGGGGGTGGGAGGCAGTAGGAGAACAATTTAGGCACAGGTGTTCCCAGGAGTAAGAGAAAAATAAAGCCCTACACAACATTGATCGTGTTGATCTAAAAAAACCCACTCCAAAATAAAAGACTCCACCTTTGTGAAGCAGCGCCGGTTTCGAGGGACCGTTTCTAAAGCTGCTTATCGCTTGAGATGGAATTGCGTTTGACTCCTGATGTTTGAAAACCTGCCCGACAAGAGATTTGCATGGAGTTCCAGGTACATATTTGAATGAAGCCTCACTGGAGCACTGACACCCTCTTGCCAGAGATTTCCGTCTGCTTCGCTAATGCGAACAGCTGACTCTGACGGACACAACGAGAACGCCGACATCCTGCCTTTGAAGGAAATAATAGAAATCTTTTTTTTTTTTTTGCTGCTCCTGACGAGAGCTGAGGTTTCATTCACAGGACGGCAGTTTAAATAGACCCATGTGGAAATGTAGAGTTTGTTGGGGCAGGAAAAAAACAGAGGACCCTCTTCAGGTATTGAGGATAACTGATTTAGTAGAGCTCGTCTGCACACCCCTTTCATTCTGTTAAATGTCTGGGGGAGAGTGCCGTTTTGGGAATTTATAAGACTTTCATCTTATTATCCTCTGCCACAGGGAGTGATTCCGGATAGCACCACTTGTGCAGATCTCTTCCATAGCTGTGTAGGCTCCTGTGAGGAAGAACCACATTCACATGGTACTCTGATCCCCACAGCTGAAGCAGTGAGCACAACGGAATGTATAGTGCTCACACTCATCACCCCTTTTCAGATAGTACCTGTAACAGGAGAGACCCCATTGTAGTTACCCATAGGAACAATGACCAGGCTGAAGTGATTCACCAGTCACCTGAGGCACGTGTGAGAAACGTCAGCGGTGATCATGACTCTCCTCGATTTGATTCACCGGGATGTTTTCTCTCCTGTTGTCTTTATGTATTTGTTTTGTTGGGCGGAGTGGACTGTGTTCTTTATTGTGTGTACTGTATGGTTTTCAGTACCAGAAAACCCACAGACTTTTCACCCTTCCTCATTATTTTCACAAACCTTTTGTTGTCTGTAGACTCACTACTGAGACGTTACTGTTTATTTACAGATATTTTATTATTTGTCACTTTATGTGATTATACATAAGGTACAAGCTGTTTTTACATGATTTTATAAATAAAAGACATATAAACAATCTTTTGTTTAGAATACTATTGTTCAAATATAGAAATAATTTTAATCATACAAACTATGATTACTTATGCGGTTCTGGTGATTTAAACCAGACAGTATAAAGACGTAGAATTCAAACTGATCTTCCTGGGTAATAAAAATACTTTTTAAAAACTTTGATAACTTTGTGAGTACTCACTCACTTTGTAAATACAAAAGCACAAACACAGAACTTCATTTAGACTGAAATCTTAAACTCATATATGCCTTCTTTTTTCATCGAATCAGCTGTCATTGTTTTCAGGTTTTGTTGATTTTTGAAATTCATGAGCACTAATAATCTCAAGCCAGTATGTAGTTATGAGCTGTGGATTTGTTTAGAAAAAAAAACACATTAGATCATAGCATGTTATACCCCGACATGTTCAACACTGGATTCCCTGCTTAACTTCCCCTACAAACACATGTGAAAGAGATGACAGCATACCTTCTCCTTCCTGCATGTCCCCTCTCTTATTCATTTCCAGCCACCTGGAAAGTCAATTTGTGAATCACGTATCTTATCAGTCCCTCATGAGCCTGATAATCAGCTCTTCCTTGTTAGAAACTTCAGTAGCACTGTTTTCATGCGCGCACTAGTTTCAACAGAATATTTTAGCAGCTTTAGAGTAAGAAAACTGCAACAGATAACTGCGTCTGGCTAGAACGATCAATATTTCTGGCACGTGCCCAGGACGGTACTGTTTGTTGATAAATCCTTCAATGGCGCTGATTAAGGAACTGAAAATGAATGACTTTCTGTATCTGGTATGTCCTAATGTCAAATATAACAGGGAACCTAAGGAAAAGTATCATACTGTATCTTGGTTAAGTTATTTCTGAGGAATACTAAGAACGGAAGGGACTTCCTACATTTAGTATGTATCATCTTAGAAAAATAAAATTTATGGACATTGATTCAATATTTATGGCATTATTTGGGTTAACTGAATTTGCATTACTGACGACTGACACCCCTGAGTAACTGAGCGGGCAGGCGTTTCTTTCGCCCCTTGGCATGGCGTGTTGCGCCACAGCTCCCTTTGTAGTACTTATACGGCAACTTCTCATGGGGCGGGCCTGAAGGAAAAAACGGCCGGAACGGAGTGACCGCGGACAGCACCGATTCAGTCACTTTTCTCGCCGCACGCTGGCAGAAGAAAAAAACAAACGGCTGGGCAGGACCCGAGAGGAGACGATGTCATGTAATGACTCATGACTCAATCTGTAATGAGTAACTCCCAGCGCTGAGCAGTCCTCAGAGAAGAGAGACATTGTCCGGAGTCTCCACACCTCCAACGGCTTCCAGCATGAAGGACTCGGACGTGTGCGGACACGGCCCGCGGAGGGGGCGGGGCCCAGTGTCCGGGCGGGGGCGGGGCCCTGTTGGGGGCGTGACCCAGTGCCCTGGCGGGGGGCGGGCCCTGGTGGGGGCGTGGCCCAGTGTCCTGGTGGGGGCGTGGTTCAGTGCCCTGGCGGGGGTCAGGGCCCTGGTGGGGGCGTGGCTCAGTGCCCTGGCAGGGGGCGGGGTCCTGGTGGGAGGCGGGGCCCGGGCGGGGCTCACTTGAGCCCATGCTGGCTCTCGTGGTGTCGACGCAGGTCCACCTTGCGCTGGAAGCCCTTGCTGCAGATCTCGCAGCCGAAGGGCTTGAAGCCGGTGTGCTTGCGGCTGTGCGTGATCAGGTTGGAGCTCTGGCTGAAGGCCTTGCCGCACACCTGGCACTTGTGAGGCTTTTCCCCTGCAAGGACACATATTATTATTATTATTATTATTATTATTATTATTATTACTATTAATATATATCATACACACATATAATAGGTTGGATTCCTGGAAGACGGTAGTAAACTATGGAAGCCTTTAGCAGTGATCCCTTACAGTTATAAATTTAAGTTTGACACAGGTACATTAAAAGCAAATTGGAATATATTTAAGTCACAAAAAAGCAATTCATTCCAACAGGCAGGAATAATCACCCTATTGTTCAGATTTGTAAAGCACTCATTGGAGATAAGTTTAATTTTGCTTTCCAAAGGCTGCTTTTCAACGCCTAACTTCACTCTAGGGAAAATGGGTATGCAAATGAGCTCCAAAAGATCTGTGATAAATGTGTTTTTTATGAGCAGGATTTTCCTGCTGCAAAAAAAATATTACCTTTAAATGTCTTTGAAAGCGAATGGTTTTGCGCGCCTGAGAACTGGTAAAAATAACCCATGCTTGCCTGTGGATGTCCACTGGTCTGCAAAAGCCCTACACACAGTCAGGAGGTATGACATATGTATGCCGTGAGCATCATTAATTTAAGTCTCCACTGGCGTTTTTCACTGTTTTCACAACTTTGTCTTTGTTAATGGAGCCACATTTCCGTGAGAAGAAAGCCAGGATCCACACTAGTGTGCATTCACTCCTCTGCACAGCTGCGTGTAGGAAGAGGTGCCCCAGGGCAGGGCAGCAGGGTGGAGCAGTGGTCAGCACTGCTGTCTCGCAGAGCTGGGGCCCTGGGTTCGATTCCAGACCTGGGCTGCTGTGGGTGTGGAGTTTGTATGTTCTCCCCAGGTTTGTGTGGGTTTCCTCCCACAGTCCAAAGACATGCTGGCAGGTCAACTGGTTTCTGGGAAAATTGTCCCTGGTGTGAGCGTGAGCGTGTGTGTGTGTGTCTGTCCTGTCTTGTCCTGTCCTGTCCTGTCCAGGGTGTGTCCTGCCTCGTGCCCGTTGCTTGCTGGGATAGACTCTGGTTTCTCAGCAACCCTGAATTTACACTACTGTTATACCTTGAGTGATGTACTATACCCTAGCTGCTACAGTGTGCCCGGTTGGTGGGCGATCATTGTGATGGACCCAGGTGCTCTCTTGTCCCCTTGTTGACTATGAGCCCAGGGTCAGCCCTGGTCTAATGAGCTGCTGTGGCTCCGATGTGGAAATGACCTACTGTACTTTTACATACATATTATTAACAGTTATTAAAAGTTATGTTAACCCAGTATTAACAGGCCTTATGGCACTCATCCTTAGAACCTTAAATGTTCCTCCTTTATTCTGTGCCTTTTAGGAAGAGTCGAGATAGAATGAAGTTATAGAGAGATAAAAAAAAAATCTGAATCTCTGGAAGCCAATATTCTGCTTTCTCTGCTGATCTGAGGAAGAGGTTTCTTTCTGGTGAAGGAGTGTAGTCCCCTCCGCAGGAGACATCGCACAGCGACCCCGGACCGGACTCACCCGTGTGGATGTAGGTGTGCTTCTTCATGTCGGATTTCTGGTGGAACCGCTTGCCACAGTACTGGCAGGGATAGGGCCTGGTGTCGGAGTGGATCAGGAGGTGGGTGGACAGCGTGGAGGAGCGCTTGAAGGTCTTTCCACACATCTTGCACTCGAAACTCCTTTCCTGCAGAAAAACACACACACGCACACACTGTAGAGGAACCCAGCAGCTCTCCACGCACCAACACTGGGATTTCGAACACAGACTCGAAACCTGTGTAGTTTAGCCTTTTTTCTTTGCAAGGTATTAGGACTAAAAAGCACGGCAAACCGTTAGATCTGTCCTGTTATATGTAGGTGAAAGCACACGCCCCAAGAACAGGTGTTTCCTTACTGCTACGGGCAAAATACACCCAACCTGTTCCTGAGAGAGATGTCTATCTCCTTTCATCACTCCAAATAGAGGCCAAGAACTACAAAATGGGAGACAACAAATCCTGTTTCCTCGGAGGGTGTGGAAATAGCTTTCTTGGGCCACTGTATCGGAGGGTCATCGCTTCAGCGGTCCCTTTGGAAAAGCCTTCAGCACAGAAAGGGGCAGCCAAAAGATGAGGATGAAGAAGAAGGAAAAAATGACACTACCCTGGATGAAAAGAATGAGTAAAAAAACGTAAGGAAAAAATAACTGCAGCAAGGAAAGCAGGAAGAGATGGGGAAAGAGAGACAGTAGCACAAGCGATAGTGACGGAGCTGCGCGCAGGAGGGGCAGGTGGGCGTTTCGGCTCGGACCTGTGAGTGGACGTTCATGTGCTGCTCCAGGCTGACCGCGTGGCCGAACGTCTTCCTGCAGATGTTGCAGCCGAAGGGCCTGGTCCCGCTGTGGGAGCGCCGCACGTGCACCTCCAGACCGTGGGGCGTGGAGAAGACCTGGGGGAGCCGGGACAGAGGCAGGGGCTCAGACACCGGCGGACCCCACAGACGGCACGCGGCCCAGGAGCCCCGGCGCGTCTAGTCTAGAGAGCAGCCCTGACGACGAGGGTCTTGTGAATGGGGAGGTGGTGCCTTATTCATGTTGCGGAACTTCATTCACGCAATTCTGCCAACTCACGGCGGGAAACAACTGGCGGCGTTTTGTGGAAGTAAAGGCTGTTGATCGTTTTTCCCTCACAGCTGTCTGGCTCTACAGTTGACTCATTCGGCAGCCGTCAACGAGTGTTTCGGGTGGGTTTGTGAATAATCGTACACTATAGCGACATAAATCTGGTAAAAATCAGCATTTAAAAGTAGCACTATTACTAAATGGGAGCAGTAATAGAAGGATAGACGGTATTGTACATCCTGGGATAATAGCAGGCTGTCATTAAGGGAAAGGATTTAGAGCTCTTAATCTGGGCAAGTGCTGGCTTGTCTCTTGTCGAGCAGAATGGGGAATTTCTGCACCGTTGGTTGCGGATTTTACAGAGAGGTGGCGACCTGCCAGGACACACGCCCTGGTAGCTAGCGTGCGGGGGACTGTGCCACTCACCTTGTTGCAGGTGATGCAGTGGTAGGTGTCCGACGTGGGGGAGTAGTGGGTGCTGCAGTCCAGGGCTTGGGGGTGCTCCGGGCTGCCCTTGAGGTGCGCCCCGTACAAGGTGCTGGCGTGCTGCAGGAGAGAGGTGGGAAAGCCGCAGGAGAGCTGGCGGAAATTGTAGGCCGGGTGCAGGGAGTCCCAGGGGAATGAAGGCTTGTAGTAGGGAGGAGACGGTAGCTCTGACATCTGGGCCTCTGGCAGACACAAGAGAGAGCCGGTCAGCTTAATGTCGCCATCACCCCTCGTACGCGGAGCGACACGACCCACGAGGAACAGCATCACCCCTCCAGGAAACCCTTATTAAAGAGCTGCAGCCTCACAGGCTTTGGCTATACCAGGACAGGACACCACTCCCTCACAGGGCAGACGGACACACCAGGGCCAGTTCTCCCAGACGCCAGTTAACCGAGCAGCATGTCTTTGGACATGCACTCATAGGAGACCCATGCCAACGGTTGGTGGAGATACAAACTCCACACAGCCAGCGCTCCAGGAATTTAGCCCGCTGAGCTGCCCATATCTATGTGCTTCAGAATAAAATAGCACTACTGTCACTGTGGAGAGCTTTGCGGATGCAGCCCGCAGCTATGGAAGAAGCGGGTGTCCCCTGCGCTCAGGCGGTCTTACCCAGGCTGTGGAAAGGATGTGCGGCAGTGCTCGAGGGCGCTGACACAGGGTCACTGTGGGCTGGCACGGTGTGCTCACCGCCCTGCTCCTGCTTGACGTAGGGATAGCTCGGGACAGCGTGGCCCAGCGGCTCCGCCAGGGGCACCCCCTCATCACGCAGAGGAGGCGGTCCTGCAGATTCAAGGAGCAGAGACCTGATCACAGCTGCGGGAGGGGGAGACGATACCGCAGACACGCAGGCGGACGCGGCAGAGGCTGTGAAATCTACCAGTCTCGACCTGGTGAGGCAGAAACCCTTCAAGATGGACTAATCTGCACTGGGGTTCTACAGGGCCAGACACTGCACTGGGGTTCTACAGGACTGGCACTGCACTGGGGTTCTACAGGGCCAGACACTGCACTGGGGTTCTACAGGACTGGCACTGCACTGGGGTTCTTCAGGACCAGACACTGCACTGGGGTTCTACAGGGCCAGACACTGCACTGGGGTTCTACAGAACTGGCCACTGCACTGG